TTTTCGTGAAACCCGTGAGACCACCTTTTTACACTTGAAACTTCACAGCAAAATGCTGTGAAAGTAACTTTCACAGTGTTTTGCCTGTGAAGGTTCGACTTTTTTAAACCTTCACAATGTTTTTCCTATGAAGTTTCAAGTGTAAAAATGTGGTCTCACGGGTCTTACGAAAACAGTCTGGTCTCACGTGAACCCAACCCTATATGTATATATATACATATTTGTACAATCAATACAACTCAATCTCAACCGTCCATTTAATTTGATAAATATATGATTTTATAAAAGTTTTGATTGTTTTCTAATATAAAGTACTGATCATAATTAATGAACTTTAGTCATCTTTCATAAATATTTAAATCATAATAAATGAACTCTTATTATTTCCATAAATATCTCAATTAATTGGGTTGCATTGGTTGTACAAATGGACATGATTGCATTTGAAATATATCATATATATATATATATATATATATATATAATAACTTACAACTTTATATTTAAAAGATTTAGAAGTAGCTTTGGGTTGGATTCCCTCTGTTAAGTATCAGCTGTCGCACAAATATATATAATATGCAATATGCTATATAGTACGTCTCAAATTTCGATCTTGAAATATTAGATGATAAATATTATCTTATTGAAAAAACCCGGATTTTGAAAGTTGATAAATCATTGGAGAGAATATGTTCATACTCCATATATTCTGAAACTATTTCTTTTCATACGCTATGTAACTGATATTTTTTTTTGTCTTATTTTATGTTCGAAAGAAATCATGTAATTTAAATGATTTTATATAACTTATGACTTTATATAAATTTTTTCAAATTTAAAAAAAAATAAACACATTAGCCTGTCGGCAAGCCCGACTTGTTTATAAGGCGGATACAGGCGAATCCATAAGTCTGCAAAAACGGGCTTAGTTTTGTTGTATTAGGCTCCTTGGACAAAAAGATTATGTTAAGCTTGGCTTGAGCCCATAGTTCATATGTAAATCATAAAGGTTCATATATAAATCAGTTAAAATAGTTCATATGTAAATTGCAAGGGTTCACATATAAACATATAGTTCATATGTGAATCACACAGGTTCACATATGAACCCGTTTGACACTTATTTGTAAAAGTTACAAAGCTACTCCCTCTATTTTGCATAACCACAATTTTTTACTTCTTACCACTTCTCAAAATGACCTATGGCTATATATATATATATATAGAGAGAGAGAGAGAGAGAGAGAGAGAGAGAGAGATGTGATCATGTAAGACAACGCTGTTTTCGTGAGACACGAGTTTTACACTTGAAACCTCACAGAGTTTTTGCTATGAAGATTTGGCTTTTTTTACCTTCACAACATTTTGTTGTGAAGTGGATCATGTGAGACAAACCTGTTTTCGTGAGACCCGTGAGACCACTTTTTTACACTTGAAACTTCATAGTAAAATGCTGTGAAGGTTCGGATTTTTTTTACCTTCACAGTGTAAAAATGTGGTCTCACGGGGGTCATGAAAACAGACTGATCTCACATGAAACCAACCTTTTATATATATATATATATATTTGTGTGTATGTGTGGGTGTGATTTGAGCAGAGAGAATAGGCATTACCTAGAATAACACCCAGGGGATGGGATTTTGTTTCAATGTTTAGGTGACGAGGATCACCATAGGGATCCATAATACAATTTAGCTTATAGCCGTAAGCTAAAGTCTCTTCTCCGAGAGTCTCTTCTCCGAGAATCTCTTCTCCGTAGTCACAGTAACCTCCACTAGCGATACACCTTGTACATTCTTCCTTTACTAAAATATATCATATCACAGAAATTATCAACAACAAAAAAACCAACACACCACTACTTACTCAACAAAAAACAAGCTACATAAATATTACGTACCATTGCATCCAAATGGTAAATAAGGGTTTCCTTCATAATTACGGTACTTGTAGCATATTCGAGAATCCACTGAAGTACCATTCCCCAAATCCACGGGAGAGCTTATACGGTCCCCTCCCGGAKCACAACAAGATGATTGATGCAAATCATCACTGTCTGTTAGCATCCATAGAAGTGACAGGGGGACAGAGCAATTGTCTGAAGCAATAGATTGGCCTAAGAAGCTTCCTTCAACATATGAATTCTCATCCACCAAGAAGGCAGACCCACATGCACCCTCTCCACCCAACCCCGTTAGATTCATGCTGTATGACTTGAGATGATGAGGAAGTGTGGCTGTGCAACACTTGATGCCGTAACAATTGTTGCCTTCGCTAACAGTGTCCTTGCGACAAGAATTTGAACATCCAGCGACCACACTCCCCTTATCGTCCGAGATGAATGCATTGGCACACCCCTCGACAACAAATTTTTTTTGTGATTTGGAAATCAGGAAGGGGCTACTAGCAAGAATGATGCTTGAGATATGGCTCCTGTTCAGGAGTTGGTTCTGGCAATCATAGATAGTTGGCACATAAACAGTGACTGTTTGATTTTCCAAGTTTACAGCAAGGACTTCCAGGTGGTTGAGTGCAGGAAGATACGGTGTGGAGGAGTTGCAATCGACAACGAACCATTCATTGATGGAACATTTTGCTCCAATTCCAAAAGGGTATGGAATCGTTACGTTCCCACACGTATCTTCGCATCCCGCCTTGGAGTAATTCATAGCTAATGTTGATGTTGTTATTAATGAAAGCATGATAAGTGAATGATAAATTTGAAACAACTTCATTTTGGCTAAGAACAACGATTAATACCAGAGAATATAGGAAGGGATTTGTGTTTATAACGGTGAATATGATTGAAGGAAGCTACAAAGAAATATATATACCATAATATATATA